CGAAAAAATAGAACCCCAAATAGTCACAGAATCCTTCCAAAGGTTTGAGCGTCCGGAGTCAAGCTCGCTGTTTCGAAAGGTATGCCGGAAATGCATTTTCATCGGGGCTATCCATGATGAGCTCAGCTCGCTGAACATCACATCGTCCCACTGAGCGTGATGTGCTTTCTGACACAATTTTTACTTTATCTGCAATGTGAATTTATGTAATCCATGACGCTACTATCATATTTCTATATCGCTGAAATATTGCTGCTTATATCACTTATAGTAAACAGTGAACACCGACAATCACTTCCACGGATCTCTGCTACTTTGACGCACTTCGAATTTGCTTTTTTTTAATTTTTCTCAGTTATTTTAAGTAGTGCCGTGAGGCCTCAGCTTTACGCACAATCCTCAAATCTTATAGACAATCATACAAACGAAAACCCTGAAGCTTCTCTCTCGTTAGAACACTTCAGCAGTGCGTATCCATAGCCCCACTCGGGAGTTGAATCCCTGTACCCTTGAACGGACAGCAGGTGCCAACCAGCCCACACCGGAGCTGATTAAAATTCATCTTTCTTTGTAGATTTAGCCTGGATCCTATGAAAAATTCCATATACCCTCCTTTGGTTTTTGAATTCTTTTGATAACCTAGCTAATACGAATCCATGAGTCCGTCAGCTATACAGATTGATTATCTCGGACCAACGCGATTGGATAAATTTGGGTGTAATTTATCCTACTGGAGCCAGAGGTTCCCTCACGTTTTTGACCCAACTTTTTAATCCAGCCATATCTGGTCTTTTGTCACACCAGAACCATCGTTGTTGCCTCCACTGGTTCACTTCTTGGTATGATAAAATGCTTGTCCACAGACACCAATCCTTTACTGTACACAGAAAGAGGGAGAGATGTGCAGACAGAATTCGTGTGTGATTTCAGATCCGAATGACGTCACTGATGGTTTGCTGTTCCAGCGAAATAACGGGATCGGGTTACGTATTGATAATCGCGTATAACAGAAATAAGATATACACGCAGGTTTCATATGGACTGTGAGTTAGGATAGAGCCAGTCGATGTGCACTGTGGGCGGAATCTCACAGCATTCCATCTAACCGTTATTGGTGCACTCTACCTTTAGCTTGACTGCATACATCAAAATACGCAATGCATAATGTTCTCGGTACACCTGGACTGACTAAAACAACATAACATGCAAGTGATAAAACCAGCATCTAGCTAGATTGCAGCGTAACTTCTCGGACATCAAACTACTTTCCATCGTTAGGAATGGGATACTGAAAATAACCGGGGTGTTGCTCTATCTATGGTTGGCTGTTATGTAACTCATTTCCCATTCCGTTTGTCCGATACTGGCCATGGGAATCGTCTGTTTTTTTCTCCTTATGGTAATACAACTCGCTGTCAGACCGCCTAATCGAATGGTGATTCAATTACTTACTACCCCGATCAGCGTGTGATAAAGCTCAATACTTTGATTTCCCTTTGTGCATACCTTTCGTACTTCTCAATGCCCACCTGTGATGATTTCGTTCTTCCCCTCACTCCCGTTCCATTTCTGTTGCAGATACCTGACAGTAGCAGTGCTAATTCACCCCAACAATTAGCTACTGAGAACGGACAGGCAGTAATCGATGGTGATCACACAGGAGAATTGGCCGCAGAACTTCTGAAGCTGGTGGCCACTTTGTACGCCTTGCATCTGCGTGGCACACTGGATCAGGGACATGAGCAGCAACGAGCACCTGTGCCACAATTACCCGGACCCAGACCGATGGAAAAACCGCACTCCCCTCCGAGCGAAACGTTGGGCCCGGCTGAACGAAACGATTTGCTCGGCCACACAAACAGGCCATTCGTTCGCCTCGTCACTCACGGTCGTGCTGTACTGGTACACATGGGTCAATTATTGAGTATTCTGGACGATCATTCTGGATTTCTGTTGCATCGAGTGGTCAGTTTTGATCCACAGCGTGTGCAACTGCACATGGTGGCCGACCTAAAGCCTCGGGATATTCTCGCTCTGACCGAATCGAAACGAACTCGCGAAGTGAAACGCCTATTGAATCAGTCCGACTTGAAAGCCGACAGTGAACGGTATGTCCCCGCATGTTATCGCGATTCGTGCTGTTTGATCTCCTTGATCCACGTTCTACCATGTGGGCAACTCGCTAATGAGTAACTATGAC